TCTTCGGTATTCTAGTCCGATGTATTAACCACTACACTACAAGGACCAACCACGCTGGTAACGCAGCCAGAATATGAAATGTAGGGTATTCGTGATGTATAATTGATGTTGTTACAAAATCAACATTTAAAAAGTTAGATTTTTTCTTACTGTACTAAATTCTCTTCAATCAAAAAGGAAAAGAGAATCTCATTCAAAGTGCTTAAATTAGATTTATTGTTCCAATTTATAATTATTAATTCATTGTGTTGATTTTCGAAGAAAAAAAGCAGGGGAAATTTTGCTTAAACACGCAACGACTTATGTCATATGTTGGTCATATGACCACCTTGTCTCCCAAGTAAACATTGAAATGAGTGAGCTATCTTTAGAATCATAGGTCATATGCACATTTGATCGTATTATACAAGCTAAGTTGCACGTTAATAATAAAATTATTATTATTATTATCATATACACATGTTAAAGCTATGATTCATAAATATTTTAAGACATTATTATCAAAATCATAGTAAAAGAGAATTCAAGCGTTTAATAAATTGATATATGTTGAACAACTTTTCCATTTTTCAGAAGGTATTATTGTTTCGATAAGAAAATCAGATTAATCCAATTTGTACCCAATGACTGTATTTTTTAAATAACAAAAATATGATATATGACCAACTATTAAAACATATATAGGAATATTTCACGACACAAAAATTGGGAATTTTGTGATTTTTATTTTTTACCTTTTTATTTCATTTCTATGGTATCTAGACTATGAGTTGTGAATGTAGGCCTTATTTTCTTACGATGGGGTAGGATGGTATAGGATAGGTAGGTACGATGAGGACTTAAAAATTAATTTAAAATCTAAGCATCAACTGTACCCACTAAATTTTAAGAATTCATAATAATGATCAGAAAAATTAGATTAGAATTGTTACAAAAAATATTCTTATTACCCAAAATATAATATTTACATATAAACATGTGCAGACAGTTGAATCGACGTCTTGCATAATTGAAGCTTTCAAGCTTGACAAAATAGATTAGAAAACGTTTTGAAATGAAAAATATAATCACAAAAACGAAAGATTGAAAGGTGCTAATATTAATATTATCACTTAATATGAAAGTTTGTTGAACGTTTCATTTTTTTGTGCTCGAATATCACTAATTTTTATTCATAAATAGAAATTTATACTATAATTTAAGTGTTTTCTTCTGCATATATTCATAAACGTTTTGAAAGTATCGCTAGCAAAAAAACTGAAATACTGAACAATGAACATTAAAAAAAAAATAGGCTTTCGAATAAAAAGTATCTAGTTTTTCACTTTACCAACTAATTTCTAACAATTTAATTATATCGCCCAGTTATACTTCAAAAACTTTTATAATAACTCCCAGGGGATTGAATTTGTTTAAGTAAAGTGTACGAGAATTTTTAAAGACAATTAATCTTAATTTTTTGGACATTATTCCCAAAGGAACCAGAGCATTTCAATAAGAGCGACAACACGTATAAGTAAAGAATAATCTTCCCGCCTGAATTTATAAAGTTGAAAAATTAAATAACGTTCTATTCACGGCTTGAAGGAATTTGTACTTAGTTATGATACTTTGGAGATAAATTAGATTGATTTTTGTACTTGGGTTTTGGAAAACAAGGGTTCTGTACAATGTTTTGGCAGGGAAGCGAGCGGGGTTTGATATTCTGCTCGCCGTTGCAAGGGCTTCCAAAAAGAGCAGTCGATAGAAATCTTTATTTTTTGTCGTTCTCTTATGAACTACACGTTGGTTTTGAGCATAAAAGGGTAGCTTACGGATAAAAAAGCCTTAAGATGCATGCTGTTTAGGGATGAAGCAATATTAATCACTCCAGTGGTTTTTTTTATTATATGCAAACAGTTCAGTGCAGCTTCTAACGAGGAGAGCGATGCAGCTCAAACAACCTGAATTATTCACCCTAAATCATACTCACCCAAAATATAAAGTTGAAAAAGAAAAGAAGGTATTTCACGATAACCATTCCACCAGAAGCCATGTTGATTAGTGTTTTAGCTAACTAGCAAAGTTCAGCACTGTATTTCTTAGCCTTCTATAACGCAGTAAGCCTTGCGAAACAAATTGGACTTTCAACATGCATATTATATTTAGAGCATTACCTCAAAATCTTCTTTATTACAGCGATTATGATTGGCTGCTTATATAGTACGCGTGCTCTGATTGGCTTATTTGGGTTTCCTGAAGGACACTCATGCTCTGACGTGGCAACACCCCTCTACTGATAGAATATTATAATACGTATGGATTGTATATATATATGATGTCATTGTGAAATTTAATTTATTTTTATCATAGCTTATACTATGATACTGATAAAGCATGGTGGACCACGATGGTTTCGAAAGGAGAGTGAAGCATTTTCAGATGAAGGCGAGCGAATCGAATACACATAAAGGCAAAAAACTTGAGCTACCTCCTTACTATAGTAGTATTTGTACAAGTCGATTCAGTGATCCGCAAAAAAACTTAAATTAAAAACCCAAGCCACGCCGTAAAGCTTGAATGATTTCAACAAGAACTATTTAACAATCTTGGAAATTATCTGAATGAATGAATCTTCATTTCGTTTGGACTTTTTTTGTCCATTTTGCGAAAATAAAAGATTTCACTATAGTTTCAGCAGCAGTAAGGCGGACTCGCGGAGCGTCGGCACGACCAAAAAAAAATACAAAGAAATGTATGGGGTGACGAGGCCCTGCAGGGGGTCTTGCGCGATCCGGCGACCGTGTCGAGGAGCGCCTTACTGCTGCTATCGCAAACGAAGGTTAAAATATTTCCTAGATATAGATGGACAACATCACGAGCATTCGAAATAGAACTGTACGTAGGTTACGAACTCAAGTGTTGGATCGTTTGGATGCCGACTTCGCCTTCACGACATTTACAGAAGGAGACATAGAAGAAATTATGGACGAAGAAAGAGCTGAAAGAATAATCGACTTAATGCCGGAAGGCGACTACCGTCTCGAATTAACGTTCATAAAGTATCTAGATGGCGACTGGGTAATAGAGAGAGGCCGTAATCCTATCCGGGCGTCAGGTAAGCGAAACTTGTTTGTATTAAACAAGGATACAAGACCTGGTGCGATGGTGGGCATAGACGCGTTATTCTATGAAGTTGCCTATCCTGTTACTGTAGTTATCTACGGCGCGTATAAGATTGAAGAGCCAGACGTTAGGAGACTCAGGCCGATGAGACATCCCGGTAACTGCGTTGGGAATTTGGTGAGGGAGTTCTTTGAGGATTCCTCTCGTGGTAAGTTAACCCCAAAGAGAAAAGAAGCCATAAGAAAATGGGAAAACTCCACCTATAAGGCCGGAGCAACGATAGACAACATCAAAAAATTAGAAACCCTCTTAGAGAGGCGAATACATGTGAAAGATATCACGGATGGGTATATTTATCCTGGGACTCATAAGTATGGAGGTAGAGGTGCTCCTATAGTCATCTACCAACATAATGGACACGCTTGGAGGGAGTTGAGATTCCCCAGCAAGAAAGAGACTAAGGTCTATGAAACTTCTCCATTAGCAGATTTAATAGACGAGAACTCCATTTGGTTGATGGATTCAGAAGGAAGTCAGTTTATGACGCAAGACGGCACTTTGTATCGCCCTGAAATCGAACACTGGCGCATTCAAAGCGCCTGCGAAACCCTTGGGGAAGACTTCTCAGACGAGGTCCTTAGCAGCCGCAGCTTAGACTTCCTAGCGGCCAAAAAGAGAAATGGTTGGAAACCTACCCCAAAAGAGTTCAAAGATATCTCCAAGGCCTGTGTAGAACACGGTCATGGAGGTCTTTGGAACATGGAATACAACGAAGACGAGTATGTCTCGTTAGATATGAAACATTGTTACCCAGCATCTTTCAAGGGCTTAGGAGATTGTAAGGAATATTACGATAGATACGGGCATCCGGACTCTCAATTCTTTCGTGTGTCCTTAGATGGCAGCTACGACGCGCCAGCTACGGGGTTCGTCAGGCTAACATCTTGGAAGTTGGCTAAAGACTTGCACCCCATAATTTACGCATGGTACGGGAAGCATCTACAAGAGAAAGAATGGATACCAGTGCCATTGTTAAAGTTCTTTGAAGAGCGTAAGCTCCTGAAATACACAGCGCATGAAGCCATACTTTGCCATAGCGCCTACACGAAGTGGCTCCCAGAGCACAACCCAACCGCCCGAATTGTCATAGGCAAATTTACACAGGGCGCCAAAGAAGGCGAGAAACACATGCAAAGGCGTTTAATAACAGACGAAGGCGAACTAAGCTTCCTCATCAAGCGTGCCCATGACCAAGGAACGATGGTGTCCGTGGAGAAGTAGGACTATTTCATAGAAGCCGAGCAAAAAGAACGCAAATGGAATGCGCTGTGTTATTACCAGGACCATCGACCGCAATATTACCATCTCCGCGCCAGCATGCTCGCATATGCGCACATTAACCTTCTCGCAATGCTCTTGCGGTTTGACAAAGAAGACATTCCACGCGTAGCCACGGATTCTTTGTACGTGAAACCGCACGTCTTAGAGAAGATGAAGGAATTCTACACTGCCGATGAACTCGCAGAAAGTGGACAATGGCGCGTCAAAGATGAAGAAATAAAAGCCTGGAGGGCACGCGTAGAATATCACGGAGAACACACCCGCGGTTCCATTACGCCGACGGAAGAGCCACTGCCCTCAGTTGCCGACCCAATCTCTTACCAACGCTTCTCTTACCTCTACGGTACGGGAGGCAGTGGTAAGACGACGCGTGTGTTADAACTCTTTCCTAAGATAAAGGTGCTAACGCCAACGCACCGTTTGGAAAGAGAACTCTGCGGTATGGGCCACGACGCGCAAACCTACCACAGCTTCTTTCGCTGGAATGGCCAAAAGTGGGTGCCGGAAGCCATCCACGACATACCTCCCGTGATACTTTGGGATGAAATCTGTACCGTGCCCTTAGAAATCCTGCAGGAGTTCGTAGACTTCCTCCGTGGAAAATGCCAAGTAATATTTGCTGGGGATCCATGTCAACCACCTCCTATAGCCGGAGAAATGCCCCATGAATGGTTAAAAGAACTAACCACCAAAGGTGGTTACTGTGAAGAAATTAACACAGACTACCGTAGCAAGGATCAAGTGAGGAAATTAAARGCAGAATTAAGGGGCCTTAGCGACGCCGAACAATCTAAGGTGTTACGTAAGAGGGTACGAGCAAAGTCTTACGAAGACTTCCTGTATTCTTGGCATCCTAAGGATCTGGTGCTAAGTAGTAAGCGCGCAGCACAGTCTCGCATACAGAAAGACTTACTCAAAATACACCAGGAGCGGTTCCCTAGTCATTTGGTGCCCGTTTGTTATAAGCCGCGTGACACCCGCATGCAAAGAAGAGATGTCTTAGTACCCGGCACGAATGTTCAACTAGAGAACGCAGTAACGCACGATAAAGCCTGGGTACCCATAGAAAAGGTGGAAAAAATAACCTCCCA